AGAATTTTTTGCTCGTAAATCGTTTTTTAAAATTTTTTGAAAGATCTGAGGACAGCATATAATTTAAACCGATAGATACCATGCGAGCACCTGCCATGCCTCATTTATTGTATAAGTTTCCTCACTATTTGAAATTAAAATTCCTTTAGAATCTTCTTCGAATTGTGGAGACTTGGCTACTGCTGACGATATAGAAATGGCGTTAGATTACGCAAGGGACAATATGTTAGACCCATATATTGTAAGTGAAAAAATCTAATTTCCGGTCAATAATGAAGCTCTGGTTCAGGCCTCATATATAGCTGTTCCATACCTATTCAATCGGCTGGCTTCACCGTTTCAAGATATTAGGCCAAACATCAGTGTAATGCGACTGATACATATCTCTTGCTCTGTGGATTGTTGTGACGAGGAATATGACAAGATATGCTGTCGTGTTGTTCAATCGCTAATTTCATCAAGGTGCTTAGCCTTGCAATTATTGCTTTAGTAAGGTGTACTCCTCTTTGATAGGGCTCGCTACTGTCATGTCATGATCTCAGTATTTTGCTATTTACATCAGGAGACCTATAGTTATCTGCAGATTTATTCGCAATGTCTGCTTGTGGTTTGGATATCCGGCTATTGATGAATCTGGCTTGTGGAACGACGACTTAAGTCAACTGCTTGTCTCTATCATGGATTTATTCATAATTATTGATAAGTATGATGGTAACAGCGAAGAAATTGTAAGCTTTACCACCACATTCCATTTTTCGATGTGTTTATTCACTTACATGTAGTTGGGTGCTTGGAGAACGTACTTTGATCTCCTCAATGCGCTTCCAGTAGAATTCTGGCGACAGATGCCTGCAAGGAACTGGCTAGAAGAGATGGCGCGCCGCCTTGAGGTTTGCAGTTATTTATTAATTCAGCTCCTTATATTTCCATTTTTAGCATCTGGGTAACAGTCGATCGCATAATGTGACCTCACAGATCTATGAATCTAATTCTGCACGTGAAAAATCTCTTCGAACTGAAGAAGTTCCGGGGTAAACTCTCGCAATAATTTTCAGAGATTTCAAGAATTTCAAAATTTTATCTTTTCAATTCATGCGATATATGGACGGAATCATCGCGAGTGTCGCTGCAAAACTTCTGTTGCAACCTTTTTCAGAATGAAGCAAAATGATGTTCTTGAAGAAGTCTTTGCTCCAGCTCTTTGGGAAGAATGCGAAAAACGGCCACCTCCTTGTGATTATCGTGAGCTGTGTGAGATGCCAGTCATGAAGGACATATGTAATGCAGGTAACTTAACGTAACATATCTGTTTCCTTTAATTTTGAGGGAGAAATGCCACGTTAACTTTAAATGATTCCAGAGGCTTCGTATCTGCGACGAGCAATCATAAGTGGCCATTACCAAGACGCTGCACACTACCTCGATGTACAGTTTCGATTATTCCGAGAAGACTTAGTTAGTCCGCTCAGGGATGGGTTAGCTGTCTATAAACTCAACGGTAAAGTATCACTCTATAACCTTTTCAACACGCCGGCTGGACATATTAAGTTGTGACAAGGCAGTTCTGAATGTGATAAAAGCGGAATGTTATCACAGTAATTTGACATTGTTTGCATTTTTTTGCAGCAAATTTTAGCTTAAAACAGTTCACCATACTTAACATCATTATTT